TCCGATGGAAGTTTTGTGGAGATCTTTGGAGGCCACAGGTGTACTTGTTGCCTACGTTAGGTTGATTAAGAATATATATGATGGAGCAAAGACCCGAGTGAGGACGGTGGGTGGGGACTCGGACCAATTTTCGGTTATGATGGGGTTGCATTAGGGGTCGTCACTCAGCCCGTTTTTGTTTGCTCTGGTGATGGACGTACTAACGCGCCATATCCAAAGGGAGTTGCCATGGTGCATGCTATTTGCAGATGATATTATATTGATTGATGAGACGCGAGATGGTGTGAACGCGCAATTAGTGGTTTGGAGGCAGACCCTAGAATCTAAAGGTTTCAAGTTGAACAGGACCAAGACAGAATACTTGGAGTGTAAGTTCAGTGGCAAAACTCAGGGAGGGAAAGGGGAGGTGAGGCTGGACTCGCAGGTCATCCCTAGGAGAGGGAATTTTAAGTACCTTGGGTCTATTATTCAAGGGTGGGGAGATTGATGAAGATGTCGCACATCGCATTGGGGCGTGATGGATGAAACGAAGACTCGCTTCCAGTGTTTTGTGTGACAAGAAGGTGCTACCGAAACTTAAGGGTAAGTTCTACAAATTGATGGTCAGACCAACGATGTTGTATGGGGCTGAGTGTTGGCCAGTAAAGATCGCTCATGTCCAGAAGATGAAGGTAGAAGAGATGAAGATGCTGAGATGGATGTGCGGGCACACCAGGTTAGATAGGATCATAAATGAGGTTATTCGCGACAAGGTGGGTGTGGCCCCTATTGAGGACAAGATGCGGGAAGCACTGCTTATGTGGTTTGGTCATTTGAGGAGGAGGAGCACAAACGCCTAGGTGAAAAGGTGTGAGAGATTGACAATATTGGAGGGCCGACGGAGAGATAGAGGTAGGCCAAAGAACAAGTGGGGAAAGGTGATTAGATAAGACATGGCATAGCTTCAGCTGACCGTGGACATGACCCTTGATAAGAAGGTATGGAGGTCGAGGATTAGGGTAGTAGAGGAGGTAGTCTAGAGTGTTCATAACAGTAGTATTGGCACGTAGTTTTGCTTTCGGTTGGTAGTAGGATTTTATGACTAACCGTTGTTTTCTTTCATTGTTGATCACCTTGCTGTCTTGTTGTTTTTATTCTGCTTTTATATGGCTTTTTGGTATTGTCCCTTCTTGTCTATATTTTTATTAATGTGGTGCTTATGCTTTTCTGAGCCGAGGGTCTATTGGAAACAGCCTCTCTATCCTCATAAGGTAGGGGAAAGGTCTGCGTACACACTACCCTCCCCAGATCCCACAGTATGAGATAATACTGGGTATGTTGTTATTGTTGTTGTTGTCGTCGTCTTTTTCGGTATCAGTATTAGTTGCAAATGAACCAATATATTCTAGGGAAAAATTCACCTAATATAGTTCCAAGAAGTAATAAACTAGTCTAAGCATGGATATCATAATCAAAGAAAGAAAGAAATTACAAGAAACAGGTCTCACATGCATGCTTTAATCTAAAAACAACGCATAAGTACTCGTCACCTCACATATACGTTATACCCAATATTTAAATATTTAGCAAATAGGCAACAACAACAACAACAACCTAGTATAATTTCACTAGTGGGTTCTGGGAAGGGTAGTGTGTACGCAGACCTTACCCCTACCTTGGGGTGGAGAGGCTACTTCCAATAGACCCTCGGCATTCTTCCCTCCAAGAACTCCCACCTTGCTCTTGGGTTACTCGAACTCACAACCTCTTGGTTGAAAGTGGAGGTTTCTTACCATCAGAGCAACCGACTTGTTAGCAAATAGGCAAACAAGTCTTAATCCCTCAAGTCAAGGTTAGCCATGACACTTACCTTGCTCCAAAATTGACTCAAAGCTCAACCACGGATTTGCCTTTCGAACAAGCCCCCAAACCAACCAAATCTAGCAAATTATCAACCAAACTATTCAAAATAAGCCTTAGGAACTACCCACGAATGAAATAGGTTCAATTTACGTCATTATTGAAAAGGTCAACAAAGATCAACTCCCGGACTCGCTTGGTCTAAATCGAAATTCGGACCAAAGCCTAATTACCCATTCACCCCTCAGCCCGGTTATTTAATTTGTTTCAAAATCCGACCTTAATGTGAGGTCTAAATTCCAATTTTATAAAAATTCTTAATTTTACCCAAATCCCCAATTTCTACCATGAAAATCCTAGATTTTAGGTTGAAATATTATGAAATGTAACGGATAATTGAAAGAAAGCAAGTTAGAATCACTTACCAACGAATTGGGGAAGAAGAGCTCTTGAAAATATCGCATCTAAGGTTTCTAGGTTTGAAAATTTGAAAGAATGAACTAAAATCTCGTTTTTCCCATCTTAAGTCCAAGCACAGATGTAGCAATTGCGACTATTGCGACTCTTGCGAACCCTGCAAATGCGAGAAATCCTTCGCAATTGCGAAGGCCCCCATCTCTGCCACCATCACAATTGCGATGGTTTGTTCGCAATTGCGAACTTGAACTCCTCGTAATTAAGATCATTTTGATTGCAAATGCGAACACTACTCCCCCAGCCCCATTTCGCAACTGCTAAAGTAATTGCTCGCAATTGCAAATTATTGGTGCCTAGCTATTCTTAGCAAATGCGAGGAAAAAGTTCGCAAATGGGAACCTGACAAGAAGTTTGCCATATCACAAATACGAAGCCAGACCTGGCAATTGCGAGGTCTGAGGCTTACACTAGAAACAATAGAGCACCAGCTATGATCCTAAGTTCAACATCATTCTGTAGCCTATCCGAAACTCATCCGAGCCTTCGGGGCTTCAAACCAAATATGCACACAAGTCCAAAAACCTCATATGAACTTACTTGCGCGATCAAAAAAATAAAATACACCTAGAACTACGAATCAAACATCAAATCAAATGAAACTTAAGAATTTCTATTTTAATAACCGTCGTCTGAATCACGTCAAAACAACTCTGTTTTTCACCAAATTTTGCATATAAGTTGTAAATACAGTAGTGAACATATACCAAGCTCCGGAACCAAAATCTAGACCCGATAGCAATAAAGTCAAACTTTGGTTAAATCTTTAAATTCCTTAAACCTCTAAACTACAAATTTTCGACAAACTGCGATAACTCGAGCAAGGGACCTCCGAATTCGATTCCGGGCATACGCCCAAGTCACAAATCACGATACAGATCCATTGGGACCGTCAAAACACGGATCCAGGTCCGTTTGCTCAAAGTATTGACCGAAGTCACCTCAAATGGATTTTTAAGGCAACATTTTACATTTTATCAATTTTCACATAAAAGCCTTCCGACACGGACTGCGCATGCAAATCGAGGAAGGCTAAAAGGAGCTATTGGAGGCTTCGAAATATAGAATTAAGGTTTAAAACACTAGATGACCTATTTATCACACACTAGCGACAATTTGGAACCAATTTAATGATCCCTTTCCTTATTTGGAACCAATTTACATTTATGGGATGATTTATAGCCACAAAAAATATATGTTCATCATTTTACACAAATTCTAAAATCTTCTCTCTTTTATTAAACTTCATGCCTGTCAAATGAATTCGCATAAATTAAAACGACGGGAGTATATTACAATTTTAGTGAATATTTATATATAAATTTATACATTACATCGAAAGAATTGAATATTAAGATGAACCCGCTGTTAAAAAGTTGGATCCGCCTCTGCATCCAAAGTAGGCGTTCTAATATATTTTTTCTTTTTCGTAAATGTTTCCGCCCTCTCCCCACTTTTTCCAAGAAAAAAAGATGGAGAAAAATATTTTATTAAATGCAAGAAGATTCATAAGGCATTGGTTTGGAGGAAACTACACCTGCTGGAGCAGTCTCGATTAATATNATTTAATGGCGATTTAGTGTTCCCTTATATAAAATATGAGTACTTAGATGAGTAAACTAAGCTCATAAGTTAATATTCATTACAGCTATGCGAATGAACTTTTCTAGAAATGCTTTGCTATTCTATCTAACTAACAAGATTCCTACATGTATTTCCAAGTAGGATTTAAGTTATAAATACCGAGAATATCAATAATTTTTACAACCACACTTCTTATAAAAATTATTTGCTATTGTAAATTAATTTAACCTAATGAAGTAAAAAATTTATACATTGTCGGTACACAGAACCTAAATTCTTCTCAGTATAAAAGTTTGTGTATATATATACACACACAATAAATAGAAGTTACTGCTAAATGAATTTCTATCCTTGAAAAAGGACAGCCAGTTGTACGAAGTATCCCATATTTATGCACGCTGGAATTTTGACCGAGTGTTCGTAATATCTTGGTATTTGATTTGAATGGTGGAGATCGGATTTTGAGGCCAGTAACATCTGATTTCGAGCCCCTAATAGTAGCTCCAGTTTTGTGACTTCTCCTCTTTCTTCATTTGATCTGTCGTTGCTCTTGTTGCTCTTGTTGCTCCGTATTTGGCACTTGTTGTGTAGCCAATTTGGAGAACTTTTGTAACCCTCTTATTGTTATAGTGAAGCTTTTTGGATCTTTGTGATCCCGTGGTTTTTACCTTCGATTTGAAGGGTTTTCCACGTTAAAATTTGGTGTTCTTTATCTTCTTTATTTTCGGATTTGCCTCTTCCTCGACATAATACGGGGAAGGGGCGTACCCCAAGAAGGTATGATGTATACCGTCTACCGTAATGCAAGCATTAATGGCTGATTTCACAGTTCGAACATATAACCTATGAGACGACTTTATTGTTGCTCCAAAGGTCTCCTTCGAAATTTCTATAGTTTTTAAGCATTAATTGATCTAAGGATGTTGTTATACCGGCTTAGCGGTTGCATTTCTTTTATATATATAGGGACCACAATTTTATTTAACCAAAACTTAAGGGGTTGCAAGCGAAAATGAAGTGTTACTAGTAAAGTATACAAGGAGTGTGAGACTATATATATGGAGTAAAACAAAGGGTTGAGTAACATTATAAGTATTGTTTACTCAGAGGTTCAACCACCACCAAACTTGTTTTCTTAGTCCAGCAAATGTTTTTAATGTATCAATAAAGTTCCACTGATCTGTTACCAGCCGTTACGTGTCTATATTTATCTATCTTTTTTCTCCTCCCACCAAATTTTGAACAGAGAAGAACTCAACCCCACACGCATTCCTCAATCAATTTAATCCAACAACATTGTGTCATCATTTTGTGTATATGTTCCATTTTTCATGTCCCTTTTGCTTATAATCTTTCAACACCTTACCTTTTCTTTTATGGGATTGTGAGATTCTTGGGTAAAAATATTATTGTGCCCTTAACTTCTTTTTTTTCATGATCTAATGGCACTCGGAGCTTTCGTCAAGCTAACGAGTGCCTAGCATAATCTTTGTGACATACCAAAGCAGCGTAAAAACACAATCCTTGTGAATCTTGACGCCCCCATTTCAGTCTTTACACAAACTAATATGTCAACAATGGACAAGGCCAAGTCAATATTTATAATGACAGGCAGAATTTTGAATGAAGCAATCAGTTTCATTGTTTTCTCAGTTCTTGACATTCTTGATTTTCTACTTTGTTACACTTACAAAGTAATCGATTTCATCGTTGAAGCAGAGTGGAAACCGTGCTACTGCTCGTCAGCTGTGACGAGTAGTGGTACAATCTTGGTCTCCGAGCAAGGAGAATCCAAGATTGTGTGTCTCAGTACTTCTTCTAGCCGCAACAAATTGCAGCTAGAAGAAATATCAGACACACTCTACACTCGGCCTTCTTTGGTTTCTGAAGTGTCAAAATCCACAGTGAATGAACTCAAGCGGCTCAAATTGGAAAATGCCACAGTGAAAAAGGGAACCCGAATGTCAACTTTCACTGTTAATTCCACCATTGTGGAAATGTTGCAAGGCAAAATTGGTGGCCAACAATATCATCCAATTCCAAGATGGTCGGATTGTGATTGTAAAACTTGTAATTCTTGGTCCTCTTCTTGCAAAGATACACTTTTTGTCCATGTTGATGGTGCCAAAGGTATGACAAGTAAACTCTCCTCTCTTTTTCCTCCGATCCAAAATAAGTGTCAACTTCTAAAAAGTCTGAGTATAGAAAAAAGGTAATATGATGAGATATAACGGGTAATTTAGTCAAATGACCCTTAATTATGACTAATGTTATGTATACTAAAACCTTAAACGACACTTATCAACCCAGTAGAATCTCATTTGTGGGGTTCGGGGAAAGTAGAGTGTACGCAGACCTTACCCTTACCCCAGAGGGGTAGAGAGGCTATTTCCGGGAGACACTCGGCTCAGAGACAAAAGATTTATTTTGGAGGAGACGTAATATTATTTTGTTTCTTCTTATATTAATGCCTTCTATCGGTGTGATTAATAAAACACAGAGAACGTGCAAGAGAATGTGATCTTCATTCATGGGTTCATATCATCATCAGCATTTTGGACAGAGACTCTATTCCCTAACTTTACAAAGGCAACAAAATCAAAATATCGCCTATTTGCGGTGGATTTGCTGGGATTTGGAAGAAGTCCAAAGCCAAATGATTCACTTTACACCTTAAGAGAGCATCTTGACATGATTGAAAAATCAGTGTTAGAGCCATACACAGTGAAATCTTTCCACATTGTGGCACATTCCTTGGGCTGCATTTTGGCGCTAGCACTTGCTGTTAAGCATCCTGGCTTAGTTAAATCCCTCACTTTACTTGCACCGGTAAGTTGCCACCAATCTTCAAAAGGATTAATTAATGAAAATGGTCTAATTTTGTTGTTATACTATTCGAAATTGCTCAATTTTATTCTAGTTATACTTTTAATCTATTCATACTTGTGTCGTTGGCAAATCATCTCGTATTTATATGTGCCATTAGCGGTGCTCCAATGTATATTGGGTGGACTTTACATGTCCAAAATATTTCTAGAAAAAATGTCAAAATTTAACACTAAATGTTGGAGCTCCGATCCGTTAGGAATAAAATTGAGAGTTTTTCCTAACGGCAGGGTAGTATTAGATCAAAAGTTTAATAGAATGCAAAGTTATTCAATTTAGGATACAGTCAAACCTCTCTATAAATATCAATCTTTATAACAACATTTTACTATAACGGCCACGTTTTTTTTTTGGAACTAATCTTTTATGTTACGTTATAATATATATTTTCTATAACATCACTTTACACAGCCAAAAAATTTCGAAACAAACGAGACTGTTATAGACAGGGGCGAAGCTATATAGCCAGAAGGGTGATCAACTGATCATCCTCCGTAGAAAAATTATACTATATGTATCGGTAAAATATTGAATTTTAGAAGTACATGACATATATTGAATACCCTTTATTGAATTTTTTTTTTTTTACTTTTTTAAGTTTGAACACCTTAGATAAAATTCCTAGCTTCGTCACTGGTTATTGAGAGGTTTGACTGTAGTATATAGCAAATTTGACCTTTTTATCTGAATTAAGTGTTATAAAAAAGTTGATGTATGACTTTATTAATTGAGGTCATCTTTTTTTGTTTTTGTTTAATGACATAAATGTACAAAATGACAGCCATATTTTCCAACACCAAAGGGAGAACAAGCTACGCAATATATGATGAGAAGAATAGCGCCAAGACGAGTATGGCCACCGATTGCATTTGGAGCATCCATAGCTTGTTGGTATGAGCACGTAAGCCGAACCATTTGCCTTCTTATCTGCAAAAACCATCGTTTGTGGGATTTTCTCACCAAATTCCTCACCAGAAACAGGTGCGTTATGTTCCTTCAAAATATTTCCTACCCACACTAAATTGTCCTTTTGTGCTAACTATATATGGTCGTGTTGTCTCATCTCTAATTTAATTAGGTTTGATTGTCTAAACTATCTTAAATTAGGATTCCAATTCTTTGAATAGTTCATGCATTTTAATGGGGTCATAATGGTCAACTTCTCCTCTATTTTCCATCAAATAATAATAAAATAGTTTTAACTCAGATACACCGATACAACAACAACAACAACAACGATCCAGTGAAATCCCACTAGTGAGGTCTGGGGAGGTTAGTTTGTACGCAGACCTTACCCCTACCCCGAGAGAGTAGAGAGGTTGTTTCCGAAAGATCAGATACACCGATAGACAACAATAAATAACCTAAAAGATAAATATAAGTAATTGTTCATAGTAACATTAGTCGAGAGTCTATCGGAAACATCCACTCTGCCTTTCCAGAGGTAGAGGTAAGGCTGTGTACATCTTACCCTCCCTATACCCCATTTATGGAAAACTACTGAGTTTGTTGTTACTGTTGTTGTTGTTCATAGTAACATTGGTGGATCTAGAGCATTATATATACGTTTCGGGAACCCAGTAACTTTTGCGTAAACGTTGTATTTCTGTTAAGAAGTCCACTAAATATTTATAAATTTCTAACTGTGAACTCAGTTATTATTGGATATTAATTTGATATTATGATAAAAACTTATAAACTTCAAATTATGAATTCGCCTCTACATAGTAAGTGAGAACTAATTACATGAAAATAAAACAGACTAGGTGTTACAACATGTTGCATTGCACGAGTAGTGTTAAAAGTATTCACATTTGTCTGCATATAAATTAAATTCTAAATTATGATGCCAATTATGTACAACAAGTGGAGCGGGGGAGGTCGAGAAAAGAGAACAATTTCATGTGTTGTTTATGTCCCACATTTTGAGATTATATGGTTTCTTGACCACAAAAGGAATTTAGCATTTGAATGTACTACTAGTACAAGCCATTTTTCATATTTGGTTATCATGACATCTTTTTTATATTTTAAAATTTTCTAACCTTAAGATTTTCATTTTATTTTTAATGATATATTCTTAAAGTCATACAATGACCCAATATTTATCAAAAGATTGAAGTTACTACGACTCGGACAAAAAGCAGGGCAGAACTAGAATATTAGTTACGAGTTCGATCAAACCTAGTAATTGCAATCCAAGATTTATATTTGTATTACAAAATTCTTTAAATATGTACAAAAATTCAATTACTAACATTTATTATCCTAGAGTTTTAGAACCCATAAACTCATATCGCGAGGAAAGGTACCCTACATAGGTCTTGACATTAAATTACGTGCAGACAAACAACGCATAAAAATCTCAATCAACGCCCACCAACTGCATCTACTATTCCAACCTTTTCTTTTCCTCCTTTTTGGGCATGTCCACTGCTTTCTTCTTGGTCAAAATTTAATTATTTCATTCATGTCATTTCCTTGACGATTATTTAAGATTAGGGTAAAGCACAACCGTCCTCTTTAAGATTTAGTGGTAGATTTTTGCTTGGTTGGCTTAGCGTTTTATTATTTATTCTCATCTCTCAGTCATTGATCAGTCTATGCATTGTCAGCCAAGTCAGTTCTTGACCGTTGACCCCAATAATAACATGAGGAGGGTGAAAGTACAATGACAACATAAAATTGTTTGTATGTATTTGCTCTTTTGTTTTACACCCGTTGTCCAGTACTTATATTTAACCCGATTAAATTCGAATTCACGCCGAAAAATCCCATATTAAGAATAAAACGCTCTTTAACAACGGCGATTTCATACCTAGGACTTGACTTCAAGATATCTGGTTAAGAATGAAGGATTACTTACCACTCTACCACAACTCTTGTTAGTGTTCGTATATATTTGCTAATCCGGCTCAATACCTAAGTAGGTTTAGTTACCATATCTACAAATTTACCAAATTAATAAAAAATTACGGTAATTACCTTAAAAATAACTGATTGTGTAAGTATTTTTATACATAAGTAGATAAAACTCATATTCCTTCTTATGTCATCTATATTTATTGACAGAAACCAAGCTTAATCAACTTTCTCCTATTAATTTTTTTTTAAAACCTTAAGCAATCTCCTTTTTTCCTTTTTTGGCATTACTTTCTTGTTTACTTATTATCAAAATGATTTTAACTACAGGATCAAAACATACTTAGTAGAAGGATTCTGCTGTCATACACACAACGCAGCATGGCATACATTACACAACATAATTTGTGGCACTGCTGGAAAAATTGAAGGTTATTTAGACATGGTGAAAAATCGTCTAAAATGCGAAGTCATGGTTTTCCACGGTAGAGATGATGAACTTATCCCTGTCGAATGCAGCTACAACGTACAATCTAGAATTCCTCGTGCTCGTGTTAAGGTAGTTGAGAATAAAGATCACATCACTATTGTTGTTGGCAGGCAGCAGGTATTTGCTCGGGAACTTGAAGAAATTTGGAGAAATAATTCTACAACTTGAATTTCTCAAGTGTTTGATTCAAGATCCTAGATAAACAATGTCATTTTTATTTTTTTACCAAGTCCAATGAAGCAAATTTGGATATAATGAAAGCTTTATTGGACTAGTTTTTATTTCTTTTTATCCTTTTTTTTCTTGATTAGATTGAAAAACCCAGATAATTCAAGTATTAATTAGTATATCAGTGGATCACCACAGCTTTGTAATGGGATGTGAAAGTGTTTCTCATCTCTTCCTATTAGTAATTGCATAAGAGCAATAAGAAGCAACGGAAATGTTTATGTCTACTTGTATTTCATCTCATTTTTTTGTATAATGGTGGGAGGCTTTTTGGTGAAAATCATATGGACTTGGCTCAAAACGGACAATATCAAATTATATTAATAGTGTTTTTGGGCTGGTTTAGCCCAGCAAAATGCTAGCAAAGCCAATAGTTTGATGAGATAGTATGGAGACATCAAAGTGATGGCGTGGAACTCAATTTACTGCCTTTATCATCATGCCAAAGGTAGCTTGGACACGCACCTACACAGAAGAAGCTAGTTTTGGGTTTCGGTGGTTATAAATGTTCATTGGCATACAATAAATCTCAAATTGACCCGTGGATTTAGGCGATGAGCCATGTGAATCTTAATTAGTTTGAGGGAGAGATTGTTGAGTGTGTTGGGAATAAACACCCTATCAAAATAATATTTACGGTAATAAAAGCGGAATAATAATGTAGCACCGAGATACGGTAATTAACAAGAATAAACGAGTAACAATGACACCAGGATTTTTACGTGGAAAACCCTTCTGAATAAGGAAAAACCACGACCCCGAGAGGAGCAACTGATATCACTATAGTAAGGAATTTATACTTTGTAGTCCCGAGTAAAAATACTACAAAGACCACTACAATACTCAAAAGAAATAACCCTCTTTTGATATTTTACCTCACTACAATATCGCTCACACTCTCTATTTTCTTCACAGACTATTTTCTTATATCCTGTCTGTGAAACCTCACTCTTTCTTTCTAGCTCTCAGATATATTTTCCTCTGAGATTGTGATAATAGAATGAGAGCCGAAGCTCTCATTTTATAGGCTAAATATGCCTACCAACCTTGACCTTTCAACTTCTGCAGCCTGTCATTTTTGACAGAAAAATGAGAAACGTGGGTTGCCTGCTTCTGCCAACTTTGAAAATGAAGAAGAAAGGAAGAAAACAACTTCCTTAAATTAAGGGGTTGGACCCCACAAATCTCCCCCTCCAATCCCATTCACCCGAAGGAGGTAACTTCGCAGTTTCTAGTTTGAGTGTATGCGGACAAGTTCTTTGCATAGCTCAAACTTGTCTCTTGGTACCACTTTGGTCAGCATATCGGAAGGATTCTCACTTGTATGAATCTTTTTGACCTGTAAAGATTCGTTCTCCACCTGCTCACGAATCCAATGATATCTCACATCTATGTGTTTGGTCCTTGCATGGTACATAGAGTTCTTGCTAAGGTCTATTGCACTTTGACTGTCACAATAGACGACATACTCCTTCTGATGCAATCCAAGCTCTTGAAGGAACCGTTTGAGCCATATCATCTCCTTGCCAGTTTCTGTAGCGGCAATGTACTCTGCTTCAGTTGTTGAAAGTGCAACACACTTCTGCAACTTAGACTGCCATGATATAGCTCCCCCTGAAAATGTAAACAAATATCCANTCTGTAGCGGCAATGTACTCTGCTTCAGTTGTTGAAAGTGCAAACACACTTCTGCAACTTAGACTGCCATGATATAGCTCCCCCTGAAAATGTAAACAAATATCCAGTAGTGAATTTTCTGTTGTCAATGTCACCTGCCATATCAGCATCTGTATAGCCTTTCAAGATTGGATCAGATCCTCCAAAGCACAAACAATCTCCCGTGGTACTTCTCAGGTACCTGAGTATCCACGTGACTGTTTCCCAATGTTCCTTTCCAGGATTTTCAAGAAACCTGCTGACAACACCAACTGCGTGAGCAATATCAGGTCTAGTACATACCATTGCATACATCAAGCTTCCGACTGCTGAAGCATAAGGAACTTTAGCCATGTTCCCTTTCTCCTCCACTGTTGTAGGACACATCTTCTTACTCAACTTTAGATGACCAGCAAGAGGTGTGCTGACTGGCTTAGCATTCTTCATGTTGAAGCGTTCTAGTACACGTTCAATGTACTTCTCCTGAGATAGCCACAACTTTCTACTTGTTCTCTCTCGAACTATCTTCATCCCTAGAATTTGTTGTGCTGGGCCCAAGTCCTTCATATCAAATGACTTGGACAGATCTCCTTTCAACTTTGCTATCAACCCCTTGTCTTTTCCTACAATTAACATGTCATCCACATACAACAACAATATAATAAAGTTATTCTCAGAAAATCTTTTGAAGTATACACATGGATCAGAATAGGTCTTTAGGTATGTTTGACTTTTCATGAATGAGTCAAACTTCATGTACCACTGCCTTGGTGCCTGCTTCAATCCATAAAGACTCTTATTCAATTTGCACACCATGTGTTTCTTTCCAGCTACTTCAAATCCTTCTGGCTGCTCCATATAAATCTCCTCTTCCAAATCTCCATGAAGAAATGCAGTTTTCACATCCAACTGCTCCACTTCAAGATCTAGGCTAGCTGCTAAGCTCAAAATTGTTCGAATAGAAGTCATTTTGACAACAGGTGAGAAAATTTCGTCAAAATCAATACCTTTCTTTTGTTCGAAGCCTTTAACCACCAATCGAGCTTTGTATCTGACCAGCTTGCCATTTCCATCTTTCTTGAGTTTAAAGACCCATTTGCATTTGAGTGGTCTTTTACCCTTTGGAAGTTCAACCAGCTTGTATGTGCCATTTTTCTGTAGAGATTCCATCTCTTCTTGCATAGCTTTCATCTACTAGTTCTTTTCTGGATGGGACAGCACCTCCTTAAGACTAACTGGCTCCTCCTCATCACTGATGAGGACATATTCTGTAGAAGGGTACCTGCATGACTCTACCCTTGGCCTCTCTGATCTCATCAGAGGTTGAGGTTGTTCTTCTCCCTGAGTGGGGTGCTCCACTTCCTCGACACCTTCATCAAGTTGCTCCCCCTGCTCAATAACCTCACCAGGTTGCTCCCCCTGCTTGGCAACCTCGTCGGTCGTACTTTCTGCACTTGTGGGATTGTTAGAAGTAGAAGGAATAGTAACAAGGTTAGGAATTATACCATTCTTCGTCTTTTCTGACATATCAACAGCAGTTCCAGCTTCACTTTCTCGGAAGATTACATCTCTGCTTCTGATGACCTTCTTCTTTACAGGATCCCACAGTCTATACCCGAACTCTTTATCTCCATATCCGATAAATATGAAGGGAATAGATTTATCATCCAGCTTTGTTCTCTGCTCTTTTGGTACATGTGCAAAAGCTCTGCAACCGAACACCTTCAGATGCGAGTAGGACACCTCCTTGTTGGTCCAGACTCTCTCTGGGATTTCAAACGCCAACGGAACTGATGGACTCCTATTGATCAGGTAACAGGCTGTCTGAACTGCTTCACCCCAGAATGACTTAGGCAGTTTAGCCATTCTGAGCATGCTTCTCACCTTCTCCACAATGGTGCGGTTCATCCTCTCGGCTACGCCATTGTGCTGTGGGGTTCCAGGAACTGTCTTTTCATGTCTGATCCCATGACTTGAACAATACTCTTCAAATTCCCTTGAAGTGTACTCACCTCCATTGTCACTTCGGAGACGCTTTAGCTTTCGACCCGTCTCCCTTTCTACTAGAGCATGAAACTTCTGGAAAACTTGAAACACCTGATCTTTGGTTTTCAAAATATAAACCCATACTTTTCGTGAAGCATCGTCAATAAAAGTAACAAAATATTTGTTACCGCCCATTGATTCAATTTCCATTGGGCCGCAAACATCAGAATATACTAAATCAAGTATATTCAATTTTCTTTCAGACAATGTCTGAAATAAGACTCTATGCTGCTTACCAAATAAACAGTAGTCACAAGCTTTTACCGTAGTACCTTTGGCATAAGAAATGAGTGATTTCTTGGCAAGAATCTGCAATCCCTTTTCGCTCATA